CATAGTGGGAGTGATAACGGCCCTCTGGATAATATGATGAACTGTTTTTCCCCTTGCAATACCAAAGAGTAGCCAGCAGAGGACACCAGCAACACAGTATTCTTTTAGGTCACAGCTGTGGATTTGGATAACTGGTTAGACTATTATCAAGGGAAAACAAACTTTAACACGGCTGCTGTTAATTTCGAGGAATTAGTGATGTAGGGCAAGCGAGGTCATGAAATGGGAGTTTTCCAAGGGTGGAGAGACTTCATCTATATTAGAAATCCCAGGCTCCTGTGAAGGTGGAAGGTAAGGCTGCAGGCCTGAACTCTACCTGCTGTGATACCAAACAGCATGTCAGTCACATTCCTTTCTATGGGAGACTGAGTCAGTCAATTTTCTCTAAGCGTCAACCAAATTACGAAGCAGTGGTACCGAAAAGAGATGCCCGTGTTATATCCCTTCCGCTTTAAATCTCAATGACTTAAAACTACTGTCCAAGGACCACATCAAAACCATAAAAACGCAAGTCTTATTTGCTCAAAAACAATACACCAAGTGTAATTTTACAGCCCCCCAAATAAGAAGAAAACAAGGGATATAGAAGAGGAAATTGATTTTTTTTTTTTTAAAGATGAAATCTGAACAAGGAAAGGAGGCAGGGGTTCAGACAAACAGGCAGTTACTGAGTGGGAAATGGCCATGACGTCTCCCCTAAACGAGTGAGCTCAGAGCCATGCACAGACAAGGCCCAGCATCTCAGGCTCACGCTACAGCAAGCAAACTGCCTGACAAGAATGGAAAAGAATGAAATGCCCACGGCTGGGGCTAGTACGGTGTGGGCAGACAGTCACGTTAGAAACCAAAAAAAATTCTGCACTAGAAAGAGCTCTGCCAAGGTAATCTTTGGTATGTGTCCCCCGCATTTCTAGAACTATGTAATTAAGGCTTTGGCATCACATGACACTGTTCTTATAACCATATTTACTCACATGTATATATTCATGTTTATGAGGGAGGAAGACTGGAAGGAAGCAATGGAGGGAGGGGAGGAAGGAATGGAAGGAGAAGGGAGGAATGGGAAAGTGGAGGGAAAGAGGAAGAGAGCAGGAAGAAGGAGAGAGAAGAGGGAGAGGGGGAGGGAAAGAGAGGAGGAGGGGAAAGGGAAGAGGGACAGAGAGAGAGAGAGAGAGAGAGAGAGAGAGAGAGAGAGAGAGAGAGAAACTGCCACAAGAATACAAACAAGCAACAGATGAGCTGGTCCTGGGAGGCAGCTGTCCACCCGCCCTTAGCAGGACAAGAGTGCTAATCCTGCTCAGCATTCCGAACCACAGTGCCGTATTGGAGTCATTCCAAAGAACACATGGCAACTCTGTGTGTTAGCAAACAAATGCCCCAGAAGCAGAGGACTCCACATCAGCAAGGCACATTACCCACCCTGGCCAACAGAGGCACTGGAGAGCCTGGGAGGCTCCTCTCTGTTTCCTGTGGGGGCAGTCAAGACCCCTTTGTACTTTCCTGATGCTACCTAAGCAGTTTTCTCCAGAAACTGAATGTTCATCCCACGGCCAGGAGGAATACCAAAAACATGGCTATGGGCTGCCTAATATCTCCAGATATTGATGCAGTATTTTGTCTTTTTACCGAGATGCTGCCTAGATAGTTCTATTAAAAGTATGAACTTTAAATCTAGATGATTGCTTAACAATACATCTCCCTTATTCTAATAGTGGCTGCAGCCACTGTGTTATTAAAATCAGGTTTTTAGAGGATGAATCCAAAAACTAGATCATAACATTCTAGACAGAAGTCAGCAAACTTTAGCCCCTGGCTTCAGTCCAGCCCAGCGTCTAATTTGTGTTTGTTTTGTTCGTATTGGTGCAGTTTTAGTAGAGCATAGCCAGGTTCAATTGCTTATCGTTCTTTACAGGTGTCTTCCCACTCTATTAACATAAGTTGAATGGCTGTCACCCAGGCAAGAAGCCTAAAATACTTACCAGTGGGCCTGTGTATATGAACTGTTCGCCAACCTATCTCTTGTCAGAAGGCTTCATAAACAGGATTTTGTAACAATTCTAAGAATATGCTGAACTTTTTGGTAACAGAGAATGATTCGTCAATAGTAACTTCTATCACCAAACCCTATGACATGGAAGCTACGCATTGAAATTAACAGCCTAGCTGTTCCCTTGAGCTGAGGGGGTAACTAAGACATCTGAATACTTTGGAAAGCCCCCATCGTAACTGAAAGCTAATATCTGAACAATTAGATGCATTTGGATTTTCAAATTAAAAATTAAATTTATTATTCTATTTAAGGAAAAGAAAATACAAATACAACTCTCTTGTGAATAATGACTATACACTGTACAATAATAAAGAAATGAGCCTGAAGAACACGATGTTAAAGGGAAAGAAGCCAGGCTCAGAAAAGCCAATGCTTTATGTTCTCATTTTTGTGTAGAATCTCAGAGAAGTTGAGAGTAGAATCGTGGATACTCCGGGACAAGAAGAATATGGGAAAGAGAGAGGGGGAAGAGGTTAGTCATGGGCATAGTGGTTCAGGTAGGCAGGGCAAGAGGTTCCGGGGTTGTGTTGTCCAGTAGAGTGACTATATCCAACAGTAATACATAACGTGTTTCAGATGGAAGATAGTGAATGTTCTCACAATGATGAGCTGAGAAGTGTTTAAGGTGATGTGCAAGCCAACTGCCCAGACCTGATGATTACCTATATTTGTACATACCCAAACATAATGCCCCACAAATACATGGCTATAAACAATTAAAACATCAAAGGAGCATCATAGCACATATGAACCCCAGTGTTCCATTCTCTCTCTCACATGACAATGGGTTAATTATCACTCACGTACACTGACTAACCTATAGGGATATGCAATGATTGTATTAGAATGATGCACTAAGAATGGGATGGCCAGATACCTCATGGTCATAATAGAGAATTTAAAAGATCAGAAAAGGGGGCAGCTGTCTCACAAAAAGGAACCCAGGGCCTAGGACTAACTTCAAAGTTCCAGACTTAGAAGAAAGGGAATTAAGAAAAAAATTTAAAGGCAGATATAGAGATGATATATAGATATACATATATAAAGATGATAGATAGATAGATAGATAGATAGATAGATAGATAGATAGATAGATAGATAGATAGAATGTGAGGGTGTATGTGTATGCTCAAATCCACATGTGCATGAGGTCTCAAAGTTAAATACAATCTCTCCAGAATGCTCTTAAAATCTGAGGACGTTGTCACAAAAAGAACTTGATAGTAGTCTTTATTTTATTTATGTTTTACAGAAGCAGTCACTGGAACACCAGGTCATCTATAAGTGGTCACTTTATATTGATTAATGATCACATTACTCAGACGTTATCTCAGGTATGAAGATCTTTCTCATTAAATTGGCGTGAAATGGATCTATAGACATGAATGTGCTTATGCCAGATACAGAACACAAGAGACTCAAGTGATGGATAAGGAATTATGGTATCGAATAAACAATAAATCTATTTGCTAACAAATACGATGGAATAGCCTCTGTTTTGAAAACTACGTATGAAAGGGAAGAGGGAGAGAAAGAGACGGAGAAATTTTTATTAACAAGAAAAGATATATTTCGCACAGTTTTGACATGCAGAAGCCAGAGAGGTGGGAGCGGGTGTGTGGAAGAATTGGCAGCACACATACATACAGTGTGGAGATTAGTAGGAAGGTTTCTGGGGCAGAGGTGGGGTGAAGAGGAGAGTCTGTGTGGCAGGCAAGCCAGTCGTGCTCCTGACTGAGAAGCGGCAGATATGAGAAGTAGAAGCTGACTTCCATAGAATTCTGCACAGGGGCTGCTGCAGCATACACTTAGCAGAGGATGGACTGACATTCCCTTGAACACTGATGATACACAAGGACCAGCAAAGCAAGTGTGGACAAACAGGAACAGACAGCGTGGGCAGTAAGCCAGAAATGAAGGCCTTAAATGGCAGATGGCAGGAGCTGGTCAGAAGCAGAGTGGGAAGAACCTGGCAGGCACTACCTGCTCACCCTGCCCAGCCGCATGTCTCAATCCTCCTCACTGAGGGCAGGCCACAGTGAACAAGGATGACATCCATAAGTGGGGGCCCAAGGACACACAGAAACGACGTTAAGTGAAATAAGCTCAGAAAAGCTAATGCTTTATGTTCTCATTTATATGTAGAGCCTCAGAGAAGTTGAGAGTAGAATGGTGACTACCACAGGATAAGAAGAATATGGGGAGGAGAGAGGGGGACAGAGGTTAGTCACGGCATAATGGTTCACCTAAGTGGGGCAAGAAGTTCTGAGGTTGCCTCTTCAGAGACACAAACGTGCAAAGGACACACAGCACCATGTTGAGTTTAAAGAGAAAAATATATATTTGCAGAGAAAACCATGGTCTGTCTTGAAGATGTGTTGTAAAGTAAAAAGCAAAGCTTACTGCATAATGATATAGTTATTGTCATCTCAAATTAATTTAAATATATATACACATATTTATGGAAATGTATAGAGACATGTATAAAAGGCAAGCAAAGAAAAGACAAATAGGTAATAGTTTTAGGGGGATTCTGTGGGTGACCTCAAGGCAGGAGGGAAGAAGTCAAGGCTATTTGCATCAATCAGTGCATCCGTTGACCTCATCTTAGTAATCCATTTACTCCTTTCACTAAAGTAGTAAGAGCAAGTGACTATTTTTTTTTTTCTGGATCATTGATATATGCAAAATATAAATTATCATGACGATTTCATTCTAAAATAGCTTTACATGATGTTACTATTACTTCTTTTTAAAAGGATACCAGCATTTATCACTTTTTAAATAACTCATAGAAAATGTACGTGGAAGAGTCTCAGGCTGGAGGTCCAGAGTGATTGTTGAGCTCCTCTCCAAACAGTGTGAGACAACAGTTGACTCAAACTTCCGTACCAGGGCACAGGGAGAGCCTTTAAAGCTACTGAGCAAGCGCACAACAGAGCAACCTTACCGCAGCGATCCCGAACCACGAGGTTGCGGCCTTCCTTCAGGTGTATGGTGAGGAGGTATGCGAAGGGGCTGGGGAGGTGACTAAGGCAATCACCAGCTTCTCCAAGAGTCTGCACAGAAGAAAACGACATCTGAGTGAGTGCAATGTGGGCCCGAGCCGAGGCACTGCCTACTCTAATCAGGAAAGACAATAGCCCCAGTGGTCAAGTATGGAGCCCTGCTATCACATGCTTTGATGACATGGTTATTACTGCATTATTTCCTCCTACATGATTTTATCTGAATTCAGAGATGAACTTTCCAAAAGGTAGTATGTGACTGTCTGAAACCTCTAAATTCATTCATTGTGAGATTTCTACAATGATTTCATTCATTATAGACTTGGACTGGAGAGATGACTCAGCAGTTGGACACTTGCTGTGTAATTATGAGGACTGGGGTTCCATTCCCAGCACCCACATAGTAAACCAAAAACATTCTATGCACATCTGCAACTCCTACTCCTAGGGAGGTGGAGACAAGGGGATTATGAGGGCTGGGTGGCTTCCAGCTTAGCAGAGAAAATGGGAGTCTTGATTCAGGGAAAGGTTCTGCCTCAAAGGAACAAGTGGAAAGTGATGGAAAAGGATGCCTTCCTGTAGCCTCTGCATGCATAATAGGCCAGAGTACCCACAAGCAGAGGTATACATACGTGCATACATACATATATACACACCCAAGGGGATGGGGAATAAACTAATTTAAAAATAAGGACAGAGCCCTGGAGAAGAAATAGCATGACGAGCGGAGGACAGAGCTGGCTGCCACCAAGGTTTGTCCACACAGCCACCTCAGCGGTGGATCTCTCCCACGTCTTGCCTACACTCCCACCAAGCCTCACCAACTCCGGTAGTCCTCCTACACACGGGCTGCAATTTCACCTTCCTCAGCCTCAGCCTTCCCAATCGCCAGGCACTTGTGTCTTCACCGGTCGTGTCCCCAGGTCCACACTTGGCTGTCTCGGCTCTGTGCTCTCTGGCTTCGGCACATTTCACTTCGGTGTCTCCATTTACCCTCCTGCTCTCCCCTCCCATAAGCTCCGTCACTTCCCTCCCCAGGAATTTATTAACTTTGATGGGCCACAGTGACAAACCTAAGTCTGTTTTTGACTAGACTGCGAATTGTGTGAATCCTATGCAACGTTTGAGTCAGTTCAGATTTCTGCCTTTCTTCAAAGAGGACATATGGAATGGTTTATTATTCATCCATTAGGCACTCAATGAATTGATCCTGTGGCTGCAGGTGTCCTTGACAAGCTTCTTTGCAAAGTTTCAGAGGGCTTCAAAAGGCTTTGTCTCCTTCCTACCAAACTCAGTTGCAGAGTTACTGTATATTTTTAGACAAATCTATTCCAGGCTAACCAATCAATAAACCTGAATTAATTTCTTCCAGCTAGAAGTTGCAAGACCTGTTTCTATGGGTGGGCAGCCTTCCATATACTTTAAAGAAGAAGCCAGTAAACACAAACAGTGGGTAACGCTGACATCAGTGTTAGTTTGTAAGAAATGCCACTCACGGATCGTTCTTCAAAATGCTGAGATGTCATAGAAGCATTCAGATCCCCATTGCCACGTGTCTTCTGCAAGAGTAAAGAAAATCCTGCTTTAGGAAAGCAAATGAGTATTGACTGTGATGATATCCTGCCACAACCCTTTGGAAATCAGATATTTGCATGCCTGGTTTCAGCTATGTGGGAGGCTTTGCTAGCTGTGTGGCAAGAAGAGGTGAACAAGAAGAGGTGGCAAGAAGGCGTGTCAGTCAGGCTATGGCCTCTGAGACCCAAGTCACTGATTAGAGCATGGCTAAGGCACTAGATTATGAGTATATCCACACATGCAGCTTTAATCGCTGTGGAGAAGACCAGGAGAACACATAGCCAAGTCGCTTTCCAGGGAGGACTGCCTGGCCTGCAACCACCAAAGTCAACTGTGCTGCAAAGAATCCAGCACGTCCACAAATAATGAAATCTTTCAACATGTGATCTGGGAAACCTTTCTCCAACTAGACATTATGGGTCTCACAACTGTCTAATCGCCGGTGCAACTGGTAAGTAGGAATTCCCAGTGAATGACTTTATGGTATGACAGCTGGTTCTAGTATGAATATGCTCCCATATACATCTGTCAATAGTAAGTATGAGGCCCAGCAGCCTACTTGGTCTGGTAGTACATGAGCAGGTGAGGTAACATCTAGAAAAGCTGAGGGTTTTGCAGACTTAAGGAGCAGAGTGAGAGGGTGACACCTGCAGAGAAACACAGACGGGAGAGGACAAGGTGCATGCGCACCTCTCCTGGAAATCTCAGCATGTTGCCATTTGGCTGACACATCAGCTTGGATAATTACTTATATGAACAAAGATAACGCTTCTGGCTCTAATGAAAGGCTGGGTGACTCCAACATCAGTGTGGGGACGAGCAGGAGGCCTTAAGAGATTGCTTAGACTATACAACACTAATATGCAGACTATATTTGGAGACACAGATGACATGAGTCTTTCTTTCCGTTGGGGACATGTTAAGCATCCTTCCTCTCTAAAACATAGTCCCCCAAACCTTGGGACAGTTCCAGAAAGAGAGAGCCATTTTTCTTCCACCATAACAGTGGGTGAATAGTTTCAAACAAGCAGAGGCTCTCTGGCACACCATGTTTGGGTAACATGGGTAACATGGATTGGGTAACATACAAAAATGAGCCTGAATACTAGTAAGCTTTCAGCTGGAAAGAACAGTAGCCTTGGACTCTTAGATACTACTATTCTCAAACTTTTCTCTACCCTCACCAACACTAAGTCCAGTGTCGCCATATCATGAAGACATCATGCTTAATCCATATGAGCTCACCCAGGAAGGAGGGAGGGAAAACTTCTGAGCTCTGAGTTCTCTCTAGAGCTAAGACACTTTATTTTCTTACCCCACTACCCCCACAAGTACCATCACTGTCCTGGCATTAAAAGGTGTCCTAACCCTCCTTGTGGGGCCCAGCCTAAAGACAGACAAGAGTGCAGCAACAGGTCAGGCCGGTGCCAGAAAACCTCTCCTTCAGGTTCACGGTGACTGGAAGTTTCTGAATGACATTCAGGCAAGATAGGCAGGGCCATCAACAATTAGATTCTTACTCAACTTTCTTGATGTTAAAGGATTGCTTGCATGTATTTTATAGCGCCCATTATCAAGTTCCATACATTCAATTCCTGTCTGGTTTACTATACCCATACTGATGTTTCAGCCCCCGGAACCGTCAATAACCAATGCTCTCTGATGATCTGCAGCCTAGAAGGTGTCCACTACTATTTTGTTTTATTAAATGAATAAATGTTCTAGGCGATCAATCCCGTTTGAATGTAGTCCTACCAAGCTGCCAGGTCTGGGATCACAGTTTCAGTTAGTTATTAGTCAAGGGTCATGGTGGCCTTCTATCTCCCTTTTATTGTAAGCATTTACCTACCATCTATCATCTGTTTATCATATCTCTATCATCTATCTATCTATTTAATGTGTGTGTGTGTGTATGTTTGTGTGTGTGTGTGTTACCTACATGTATAAACACGTACCATGTGCTTGTCTGCTGCCTTTGGAGGCCAGGAAAGGATGTTGGATCTCTTGGAACTGGAGTTATTTAAGGTAGTGTGCTGAACCTGGGTCCTTTGAAGGATCAGCAAATGCTTTTAATTGTTGAGTCATCTCCCCAGCTCCTCATCTTCCCTTTTAAAATGGATGGATGGCTAAACCACATTATGCCAAAGCACGGTAGTGTGTCTATAATCTCCAACATTAGCCTTACTCTGTTTAGTAGTAATGCTACTTAAATGATGAAATTAGTCTACATATGTGCCCATAATTTATACAGTATTGAAAAGTAAATGCCAAGCCTTTATTTAAATACACCATAAGTTTCCCACTTATAGCAACAGGGAAATTCCATGTGAGCAATGACATTAATTCAACATTATGGCTGGTTTTACTCACAGAAGTCACAGAACTTAAAGTTATGGTTCCCACAGCCACTGTAACTGTCACACACCATCTATACACATGGAGGAAGGAAAATGATTACCATAAGAGCAGGAAAGCATTCTATATGCACAAGAGGACAAGTTACAGCAGCTGGGAGACACATAACTTACACTATTCTCATGCACTCTCGCACAGAACCCAGAGAATTATCCACTGGGCAGAATCCACAATGTTCTTACGTCCTCTGTAAACCTAATGACTCGATTTATGGCTTCTGACTCTGTGTCTTTGTAAAAGGAGCACAGTTACAGTTATGTCGAAAGGAATGGCTGATGTCAATTAGACATTGGTGTTTATGTTCTCAATAAAAATAATCAAGCAAAGGGGGAAAAGAATGATCAAGTATGATGGGTTTGCTTAAATTAACCACAAGTCACGTATCACACATTAAGATTTCCATGTTGCTGTGAGTGTCGTGGCTTTAAACAGGTGCAGATTTGAACAACTGCTCTATGGTTAGTGTACACAACAACTCTGGTACTCAGAAAACCCGTTCATTCTATCCCACCATGATAAAAGCTTTCTCTTAACTCTCACCCAATGATCTATTTCCATCATGAAATTTTATCATTTATAGATTAACTTGCCAAAAAGAATCATACAGTATGTCAACTTACGGCATCTTTCCCTTTGCACAGTGCCTTTGAAACTACCCAAATTCCCATCCTCATTACAAATAACAGTCTATTGCGTGAGTGTACAACCTGATGAATTAATTTGAATGACAGGAATTAATACAAACTGAGCACTAGTTTTATTTTAGACAAATTGCTTTAAGCACATACTCAGGAAAGATATGGATACTTTTGAACATTATAAAATTGAATAAATTTCACCAAATTTATTAAGACCTATTATCTCATATAATGTACATGTGAAGGTTTTCATCTCCCATACAAAGCAATACGGCCTTTGTATTTTATACTTAACATATATAATTTAGTATTGTGTCCCCTTTAGATATGAATCCCCAATTTGATAGAACAAAAATTCATTAAAATCCAGATGGGAGTAGGTAGGATTAAGATGGACATGTATGTGTGTATGTATATATATATATGTATGTATGCATGTATACACACAAACACATCTCCCAGGGCCAGAGAAATGGCCCTGCCGGTGAAGTGCTTGCTGAGCAAGTGGGAAAACCTGAGTTTGATTGCCAGATCCTATGTAAAGAACTGGGTGTCTTGTAATCTCTGAAGCTTGCTGAAAAGCAGCCTGGCCTGTTTGGTTGACCCCATGCCATTGAGAGACCACCTCTCAGCAATCAAGCTGGTCACCCAGAGGCTGACCTGTGATGATTACACACATGTAGAAACATGCAGAAACTTACACACATGCAACTACATGTATTTGAATGTGAATGCACTCTCACATGTGCAAATACACATGAGCCTGCACACACACACACATACACACACACTCACATGCACACATACAAATCCTGTTACTAAGGATCTTAAAAGCAAAGCGTCAGTGTGAATAAATGAACTTTTCTTTTCTATACACTCAATGTAATCTCGTAGGAATGTCACCTTCCATGTGGCTGTCAGAGGACCTTGTCATGCAGTATACTCAGGAATGAAAACAAAGTGTGTTTTTACTGGGTGCCTGATTTCAGTAGAACAAAACATATAACCACACTCAGAAAAGCTGACAGTAAGGGGCAACACTGGATGAGATCAATTGTTTCATTTTTAAAACTACACCATGGACACATATGAGTGTAGACCTGAATATTATGTGGCACATGATTTAAATTCTGTTATCCGCTTTAGGCTTTCAACACTATGAATATTTAAGAACAGAAGATCAAATGCAAACATCTATGAGACAAAGGGAGTAATAACATAAACAACAGGAATATGATGGCCAGACAGACCAGATAGGCCATTAAGCAGTCACTGGAAACAGTAACAGAATAAAGAGAAGGCAATTGAGCCAAATCAACACATCAACATAGCCTTTCCATATCTCACTGTGCACAAGCTATCAGGAGGTTCTTAGCCACACTGTCAAGGTCTAGCTTTAGTTTTCTCTCACCTCCGAGATTGTTCCAAAAACAAGATTGCAGAATACCATCTGACTTAGCATTCAACATATTAAGTGTATGTGCACAGACATGCCTGTGATGATATAAAATTGTACTCCGCAAACTACAGCCCATTACAACACTCAGCTGTCATTCTGTTCTGTTTAAACAAAATTCATTTCCAGCTCCTCTTACTCATTTCTGTGCCCTCCATGTTGTAACACCAGCAGGAAGTTGAGGCAGATACATTTTCATCCACAAATTCAAACACAGTTCTAAGTCTTTCTATTAATTTTTGACATTTATAGGAGAAAAAAAAAACTGACCAATTCCTGATAGAAGTGCTTAGCCAGTTCCCAGGCACTTCTTGAACTACAAGTAATATTTGCAAATTACCTTCCATAAATTCTTGCATGCTTCTTTGCAAAAGATGTGCTAACAGAACAATCCATCCCTTTATAGTTGCTCATCACTTCACAATTCAGAACCACACTATCATCTTCTACTAAGGAGTCTAAAGCTTGTCACCAC